ATCAAGAGTCGCTGGATTTAATAAAAGCCAATCATGCACGATCAGATTTTTAATGATCAGTAAAACTGTAAAAGGGTGCGTGAGCCGAGATGACACAGTACCACAAGCTGACGATTATACCTTCACTTCGCATTTTTAACATGAACTTTTTCACCTATATCCAATTATATGCGGCGGCCTTGTTCCCGCACGCGACAATGAAATATTTCTCTCGTGATTTCATATGCAAATATCTCCCATATGCCCATCGCCCGTAAAACCGCTCTTTTCCTGTGAGGGTTTCCCCTGGCGATTGAAATCTATCTTAATTCCGCAAAAGGAAAAACCCTTCGGTTCTGCTCAACTTTCCTTCCCGAAAAGGTGGTAATATTAATTCAGGGCTTCAAATGCATATATTAAAGCTGATAGTTTAGGAAAAAGCCACAAAAACAGGCGCGGAAAAAGAAAAACTTTAATTTTATACCGAGAATTTTAGCAAGTATTTCCTGAATTCCTCTTCATGTGAAGTTCACATGCTTCTTATCATATATGGACATCTTCACCAAATATGGCAAACGTAAACACATGGTGGCGGCAAAATCCGAACACAGCCCCTCACGGGTTTAGGAACCGATGTGTGTCCGTGGGGAGCTTGAAGCAGTGAAATATGGCTGGTGGTCAGTTCACCTACCGGTTTTAAGATAAATAAACCTTGCGAAGTCTAGATTTTTGTATTTTAGTCGGAAAATCTCAAGATGGAACAGGCTTCGAGCAGCGAGTCTAGGTTTTGGTCTGTATTTCCTCAAGCACAGTGCGAATCGCTTCTTGGCCATGTAAGTTTCATTAGCCCTATTCGCTTCCTCGCGTTTTGATAATACAACTAGGTCGTAAGCTTACTAATGCAGATCGAACGCCCATTCCGCTGATAATAATTGTGTGTTCTTTGCCTATTGTAGTATGCTTTGAAGCCGGCCGATCCAACGGAACTGAGAAGAATTTTCAACAAGGTTTGTATCGAGTTAGCTCGTGAGTTTGCTTAGTGTAAGGCCAAGGGCATGTTTATGAATTTGTTGTACGAGGCTGGTTTTCCATTGCTTTCCAGTCACGCCATTAAAGGTAATAAATATCAGTAATAGACTATTGAATATGCCGTTGACTAAAAGGGGGAAGAGAGCGAGACGATGTGACTGCAATGGGAGGTAAAACGGCGGTTTCGATTTGTGGAAATGTCCTTCGTGTAAGCGTATAACTTAATTTATGATCGAGTTAAACTAATCTGTTGATGTTTTGCTATTTGCCTTCGTTTGTTATTCAAATTGTTTAGTGCTCTTCTAATATTGATTGCAAAAGATGTATACCTCTGATATTCAGATATTTGATTTTCATTTGAGATGAGTGCAGTGTAGTGAGAAAGTATTGCTGCCTCCCTACCCACTCCCACACATTAGTGGAGTTATTGAGGTGGCGGGGGGGGCGCTTTGGGGGAGGGCACTGAGCATCACAATTGGCAAATACCAAAACATATTTAGCCTGCATACTTGGGAGTTTCAATGGCACAAGGACAACAATTGATCAAAAAACTAGTGGTGGAACTGTGGAAAAAATGACACAACCTCTAACGTTGGTTAGAACTGTCACATTGCAAATTAACAAGAACTATGCACAATAATGCACGACAATAATTATTTACTTTTTTTACCTGTTGAAGCTGCTTCAGTTTGTTTCTGATATGACCAGATTCCCTTGCCTTGGGCACCCTCACATCACCTGTTTTAGCCTGTGAAGAAATCCAATACCTAATCAAGGGGAGCACATTTTTATTTCCAGTATCTTTCCGAACACAACTCGATCTGACTTGATCTGGTCTCATTCGATCCTTATTGAGAATAAGTACATAAATGTTTCTGAAATGGATTTTTAATCTATGACAATCTGTCTTAGGAAATCCTTTGAATATGGGCTCGTAAACAATAAATACCAAAAAACGTAACCCTAACATAAGAAAAAAAAATCTTTACTTCTAAACAGTATAACAAGCTGTTTCAAAAGTAGTAAAGTAAAGTAAAGTAACAGAGTGGCCCATTCAGCTTGAAGGCCGGTATTTAAAGGGGCCCTGTCAATATAAAATTAATTAAATATATATTAATGGCATTGATTATATTATACATTAGAAATTATCTAAGAATCTAAGAATACATCATGAAAACTAAAATTTCAATTTAAAATTACAATTTAAATGTTCTAAACAATTAAGATCAATGTGAATAAAAAGGTTCTTGCTTGGTGGCAATACACTGTACCATGGACATTGTACAGAGTATCCTCCAGGCACATGTATACTGTGTGGCATAAAATTTTAGCGGAAATGAAATTTTGAAGATCAACAATTTTTTTGTGTTATTTTTTTGGGAACTAAGTTTTGCATTTGGGAAAGACTGGTTTTTCTGGCTTGGTGTTAATTTTTGCAATTTTGAAGGAGACACAGTTACGTGGAATTACTGTCTACAATGTTTTGCGTTTTTTTTTGTTTTTGTTTTTTTAAAATAAACTACATGCAATCAACAAGTGAAACAACATGCAGAGATGTAAAACACAGTAATCAGTGTCACTCTGTACCAATTACATGTTACCCTTCTGTGGCTGATTGTTCTGGCAATGAATCGGCAAAAACTAGTGTATAGTGTATCATGTGTTGCATATCACCCAAGTTTTTGTTTCTGAACAAAAGAGACTGTTAAATAAATGGCATCAAGATTATTCATGTGATATTTGTATGTTATTTTGCCAGTGGAGTAAATTTTTGCGGAGAAAATTTTTGCGGAATTTTTTTTTTGCAGGAACTCATTATTGTGGATCTTGGAAAAAACTGCAAGAGTCACAAAAATTTGAACCCGCAAAAATTTTGGGCCACACAGCATCAGACCCACTAGGAAAAACATTTTATATGCATACATGTACATACAAAGATGCAAAGACAGGGCAGGAGCAGAAGCGAAACAACTAAAAAATAAGCACTTGGATATATACATGTAAAAAGGAGATTTACATGTATTGATTCTTCATTGTAGTATGCCACTGTTGAAAAGGATGATGAAAAGTACATGACGCCAGTGAATCTGATTCGAGACTACCTTGGAATGCAGAAAGTTGAAGAGTATAATGAAACAACTTTGAACCTTTTGGCAGGGTGTGCTGACCAAACAAAAGATGGGTATGTTTAATTTCTGCACAGCAGTTGTTACATACTTATATTTGTTGAAGTTCTCATAAGTTGTCTTATTACAGATAATTTTTTGTGATAACTTAATTTCATGATCTTTGAAGGATGGCATTTGGAATGCAAAGTACACCCTGTAAATAACTATAATGTAGTGTATTGTAAGTAGGTTAGTTATCGTTGTGAGTAGAGTAAGGCAATGTAAGTAATTATGTGTTTAGCAATAAAAAAAAAAAAAAAAAAAAACTAAGTAACTTTCTTTTAGAACTTTACGTTGAATTTTCATGATTTAAAAGAGATTGCAAAAACACTTAACTCTAACAACAATATATTGTTGTTTTTTTTGTTAACTTCCATTCAAAATGTAATAATTGTAATGACAATTAAGAGTCTAGCAAAGCCAGTTTCAATTCAAGATGACCCCCCCCCCAGTTACATTTTACACTCTATGTTACAGAGAACGTCCTAAAGTGCGACAAACACATTTTGAGAAATTAGTGAATTTCTTGCAAGCCAAATGCTTGTAGTGTATTCCAAAATATCCAATTCATTTGTTCTCTCTAGCACAGTACACATAGTGAAAGAGGGTTCAGCTATATTCAACATAAATTTGCTTTTGCAAATCTTTTCAAGCAGTATTGATTTTTATTTTTTGTCTTGTATGTTTCTTTTAGCTTGATCTCATTTAGTGAATTCCTGGCATTTGAGGCTTTATTGTGTGACCCTGGAGCTCAACACAAGCTTGTTTTTCAACTGTTTGACTTGGATGGCAAAGGATCAGTCACATTTGGTACTCTTTCTCAGTGACTACATTAATTTAGTTTTAACTGTAGAAAAATTGTGTGACTTTTTAGGTATTGTTATTATTACACAGAGTAGAATATATTCTAGACATAATTAGAATGAGAGTTCCTGTACCCTAATATGTACACATGAGTGAAACACTGCGAAAGCACACAGTTGTGTAACTTTACTTTTCCTTTCTCTTTCCTATAGTTGTATCACTTGACCAAAATGTGCAATAACAAATGTACATTTATACATGTACAATTATATAAGACTACAATGTATCACATACATATTATTCATTGCTTGAAGGACCAGTTATTTTTATAAGCTATTTCTCAAAAGTGCAAAATATTTTACATGTATTTGTGATTGAATGAATTAAAAGAATATGTAATGCATGTACACTGCAATACTTCTACAGTACATGTATGTGACATATTGACAACCAGAATATTCAACTACAGTGGAACCAACGGACCATGAAAATTTGGCTGTATTGACTGATCTGAACTGAGTGATGTCTTAACAGAAGTGACAGATATATCACATCTGCACTTCTGAACAACTGTTCTTTTGTAATCATCCGGAACGCAGACAGAAAAAAAAAAAAAGTTCATACAATATTTAGATTGGGAAGAAGAACATAACTGGTTTGAGTGGCTAATACAGGGTAATATTGTAAAGGATTATACAGGTTGGGATTTCAGAATGTGGCCGTTGGCCATATTAGCGAGATGTCCGCATTAAGGGGGTTTTCTTATGAGAAAATGTATTGGGCGTTTCACTGGGGGGACAAAAAAAGTGGCCACAGGTAATAATGAGGTGACCGTAAGACAGGGTTCCACTGAGTAATACAAAAGGATAAGAAATCGTATTCACCTTGATTTAACTCTCGTGAAATTTGTAACCGTATTTGTCTTTTGAAAGTACGTACATGGTATANAGGTAATAATGAGGTGACTGTAAGACGGGGTTCCACTGAGTAATACAAAAGCATCAGAAATCATATTCACCTTGATTTAACTCTCGTGAAATTTGTAACCGTATTTGTCTTTTGGAAGTATGTACATTGTATAACCAACTGCCTTTTACAAAATAACAGAAGCAGTGAACAATAACCAAACTTATACCATAACATACACGTACATGTACCAATGCATTTACACACAGTGCAAACACTCGCTATCTTATCTCTTTGAAGGAAAATGTATAATTTCTACCAGTACATGTATATACTGTACATAACATGTCCAGTAGTGTGCATGTATTACTGTTTATGGTGCAACACGTAGTTGATTTCTAATTACCCTCTACTCTCTACTACAATGTTTTGAAAGCTTCCCTTATTCCTCAAAAGGTTTAGAAAAGGACAAGCCCCCTTACAGCTAGAGGGGTTTAAATTGTTTTCTCCTGTAGTGTTTATTATCCTCACATTGCAGATCAAAGAACGTTTCACTGTAATACAAAGTCCTGTTTGTTATATTTTTCTCAGATGAATTTGAAAGTGTCATCAAGAAAACAACTTTCTTCAACAAAATTAAATTTAATTTTGAAACTGAGTTTGTAAAGACATACTTTGGGAGTGACAAGAAGGCTCATGTTCGTTTTGATGACTTCTCTCATCTCCTACAGGTTTGTGATATATATATATATATATATGTATTTTTTTTTTTTTTTTTTTTTCTTTTATCAAATTAAACTTTTGTGTTCGTGATAGCATTTTACAAGTGGCTTTGTTTGATTTGTTGGAGGCCAGCACCCTCAGGACTCTGGATCAAGTGGTCTGGGTTTGAGCGCTGGGGTTAGTGGGCAAGGCACTTTACTCTCGCTGTACTCTCTCCACCGAGGTGTATAACATGTCCTGTACCAGTAAATTTAATGTTCAGAGGTAACCCTGCAGTGGACTGGCTTCCCATCTAGGGGGGAGTAGAAATATTCGTACATGTAGTTGCTTAATGCCACTAAACTAGGATATTAGCAGTGGCACTGGGGGCATTTGACACCACTGACTTTACCCTTACTACATGTACTTTTATCTTTGTCTGATTTGCATGTGAAAAGTGATCCACTTTTACAGGACACAATATATGTTTTCTTTCAAGGTGTTTCTTTGTGTCAAAACTACACTGGAAAACAATGTCACTTTCAATTGGTATCACAAATTTCTTTAATGATTAATCAATTAACTGATAGAAATGTGTAATAAAATAATACACATGTACCTACAATGTAAATATAACATTCTTTGTATATCTGGGTTTTCACTTCAGGATTTAGAAAAAGAATACCAAAGGCAAGCCTTTTTCCAGAGCAAAATGCCTGATGGAGAAATAACAGCTGTCAAGTTTTCAGAGATCATGAAAGTTCTGAGAGGCCACAAGTTGTCACCATTTGTCAGAGAATATCTTCTAACAGTACGACTAGTTCTTTCTGTGTTTTACATGTATATCTAGAAATTGATTTAAAATGTACATGAATGTTTTAAGACAAAATATGACCATCTCGTTCTTATTTGTAGGCTGCTAGTGGGGAGGGTGGCCACCGTGTGAGTTATGGTTATTACAGGGCATTCAATACAATGCTAGATCATGTACAAGTTCTTCACGATATGGCTCTGAAAGCTGCAAAAGGGAACCGTTTTAAGGAGCTTAAGAAAGGTACATCTGCCAGTTTATGAGCATATAACTAGAAAGTACAATGTTTTTCAAAATTCCACTGCTGGAGAACATATTTTGGCGTACATGTGTACATAACGTTTTAAAACTATGTACAGATGGACAAATATCAGTACATGTACAAAAAGGTACATGTAGCTCCCTTACTCCTTCCATCGCTCCTTCACTTCCTGTTACATGTAGACTTTTTTTGCAAATCCCCTGACCGGTAGATAAAGCATTTGCAGTCCTTGCGCACAAGTCAATTTGCGCTGATCACTGCATGATACAATACATGTATATTTACTAAGGGAATTGTACTTGCTTTTGGCAATATTTGTTATTCTAGAATCGTTTAGTGTGTGTGTTTAACTTCAATCTCAAGATTAGTAAACCAATTCAATGCAGTTCAATGGAAACTGAATAGTGGCCTGTAAACAGGCTATTTTTTGACTTACATGTAATCCCCCTTCCCAACTCCCTTAATAAAAAAAAGGAAAAGAAACAGTTCATCATGACTAAAACATTGGCTTTTGAAAGTGAGTTAGCTTTCCATAGTGTATTATTCTTACGCTTGTACTTCACAACTGACAATTACTACTTAGAATTGTGTACATCTGAACTTACCATTGTACACAACATACACTGAACATTGACATAAGTATGCAGAGCTGTCATTATTGGCCAGCAAATGGCTGTTGTTACTACATGTAACAGTTGCTGTAAATTGTGGCGGCCTACATATATACAGTGTGTAATAAAGTCTGCAAACTCATGCAGGTTTCTGTGGGATGTTTCTCATCAGAGAAAACAAAACAAATGTGAGCTGAAAAGTTTCATTTGGGCTCACTGGCTAACATATGCACCATGTGCTTTCCTTTTGTTTCTCCAAAGCAAACAGCTCTGCCTTGTACAATACTCCTGGGTATTTTACCGGTAACTCATAACTTGGTATTTTTTTCCTACTTGGAGGCTGAAAGAAAGCAAAAATGGACTCATAGAAGCACCAAGACATACATGTTCATGTATTATACAGGTACAATGCTATGCTAAATAACCTTTTTTAAAATTGTCTTTTAGTTGACATTTTACATGAAGCCAAAGCCGACTCCGAGGTATGTACATGTAAAACGTTATGGTAAAGACTTGTAGCATGTTGTAAATACCAGTAAAAAGGTTACATTGTTGCCTGCATAACAGGCTGGATTTAGCACTTGAGTGCTTTGTTTCAGGAAGAGTGAAAGTATGTGACACTGTAGTCAAGTTGAGATCTTCATCTTTAGCTAAGGTGGCTAAAGTTCTCGTCCCTAGCATCTGTGGCTGTGCCTCGAAGACAAGGCACTCATGTTCAAGATCCCACCAGCTATGCAGACTACTTGTACATCGTGTTGTTGTTGTTGCTGTTCAGTTGTAGCTATTAATGTACATGTAGGTGTTGTTGGTAGGAAAAGATCCAGCTTTACAATGGACAGTGGTACATTGTATGTTCTGCTGTACACTGTATGTGCTTATGTGCATGGGACTGTGAAGTAACTGGCTACGATTACCATTATAAACTACCGTGGAATCCCAATTTTTCGAACCTCCTAGGGAAACGAAAATTGGTTCGAAAAATCGGATAATTTGAGAAATCAGGGGTAAACATGATTACATTGTTCGACTTAGGAGAGGGAAACGACTTTTGGCTCAAGTTATCGAGAGGTTCAAAAAAATGAGGGTTGAGAAATCGGGATTCCACCGTAACCACTTAATTTCGTCGTGGTGAACAAAAATAAATCCAACTTGTTTTGTTGCTGTCTTTTTGCAGATCACTCCTCTAGTTATTGACATTCTTTTTCATCTGTGCGACTTGGAACACAGGAGAGGGTACGTGCAGCCTGACGCGGCCATGGCCAGCCCCCCTGACCCGTCGTATATGATGCTGTAGATATTTGGTGAATCAAGAGCCATGCAATTTTAACTTGGTGGAAAATTGTTTCTGAGTGAAAATGGGAAGTCCAAAACATGAGTAACATTATTTGATATTAGTTATTAGAAACGATTGGGAGGTAATCGAAACACTTAGCTTTTATCAACTTGAAGTTAATGAGGGTAATTTAACCACTGTGGCGAGTATGTGAAGGCTAAGTTGATGTTTCGAGCATCAGTCCTTCTGAGAACAAAGTTTCACTTTGTTCTGATGCAGGGCTAAGGCTCAAAAAAAGGCTTCTTCACATACTTCCTTCGACTATTATGTTCAATCTGATAGACGGCTATATTTAAAGTAATACAAAAAAAATGCCTCATTCTCTCAGAAGGGGTTTGAAATCTGAATTTCAGAACACTAGCAACACATTTGGGTGCATTTTTTTTTACCTGAACAGTGACTGTCTTATGTGTCCTAGATTACGAGTAGTCCCTCTTTCGCTTAGTCCGTCGTGCGTGACGCCTTTGGGGCCTTTCGCGCGCTCCTAGCCCCCAGGATTTCGCGCGGCCATTTCCTTCTCGCAGTTTTCTTTCGCGTCACGCACGACGGACTAAGCGAGAGAGGGACTACTCGTAGTCTAAATGTATCCAAGCCTCAAGGAGAGGAATTTTTTAATAAAATGAGGTAAAGGGTTTTGGTAGCATAGTTATTCTAAACGTTTACTACTTTAATTTATTTCAGTCGTGTCACGGTGTCTGATGTACATCAGATTATTCCTCGTCGTGACGTGTTTAAAGTGTTCTCAACAGAAAGAATCGAGGAAGAGGTACGGATTCCTTATGATTAGGTCTCTTTTAAATAGAGAGCAAGTTAGGTGGCAACGTTTTTTGATCTTATAAATCGAGTATCACATTTGCAACCACCGAATTTACAAAGAAAAGGGGATTGTAAAGATGGGGAAATTGACAATATTTCACAGAAGGAGCTGTTGAAGTATACTTGCGACTTCGTTTGGTCAGGCCTTGCGTGCACTTTCGTTGATTTGCGATGTTTTGCGCTCACGTTGGTCGAGATCAAATTTGCACGCAAGTCGACGCAAGTCTTTCACCGTTTGGCCACCCAACCCAGGTCAACGCAAGTTGAGTGACGTCCATCGTTGTTATAGCAACCTAATTTTAGCTAATGAAATACAGGATAAGTCTGCCTTGTAATGTTTTTTTGTGACTTGGGTGTACTTGCGAGGAAACTTGCGGGTCCGTTTGGCCACCCAACTCAAGTCTCTACCCAAGTTCAACTTGCGACTACTTGCGAGTCCGTGTGACCAGGTCTTTACGCGTAATACTATTTTCATTTGTCTCAACTGAATGAAAAATGTTGCAGATGATCGTGGAGCCTAAAGAAGACAAAGGGTCCGTGTTTTGGAAAACTATAGAGCAATTCTATCGATTTGGAGTTGGATCTATTGCTGGTGGTGAGTTTTTAATTACATCTGAAATGTGGCATTTGAGATCTTAAGTCTGCATACGAACCATATGGCCCATAAGGCCGGCGCTTATCTCCGATTTCTGTAGCATGAAGCGACTAGGAGTATTTCTACTCCCCCCTGGATAGGATGCTAGTCCATCGAAGGGTTATCCCCAGCATTACGTTAGCCGGTACCCATTTATACACCTGGGTGGAGAGAGGTACTGTGAGAGTGTCTTACCCAAGACCACAACACAATATCCCAGGCCAGGGCCTGAGCCCGGACCGCTCGATCCGGAGACGAGCGCACTAACCGTGAGGCCACCACGCCGAGAGATCTTGCTAAGGTGATTTTTATCTAAAAAAAGAAAATAAAGTAAAATGCCAGAATACCCGGTACAGTGCGTGAATAAGTTGATGACTTGCCCCAAGGGAAACAGTGAGTTTTTTTGACCCTCAATGTTCCCCGAGGCAAAGCCTTGGAGAACATTGGCCTCGGAGTTCCACTCTCGGGGAAACAAAATTAACTGTTTCCTGTGGAGTCAGTCATGAAGTGTTTTGTTATACCTCCCAACTCAAAAACAGAAAAAAACCGCGAAAAAATTATCAAGTGCGAGTCGAAAGCTCAAATTTTTGTTTGCCTTGGGAGTGAGTGAGATTTGACCCACGACACGTGACACGTTCTCCTCCAATTGGAAAAGTACTTGAGTTGGGAGGGAAAACTACATCATTTATTGTTCTTTATCAGTCAGTATTGTCCTACCTCCCAACTCAAATGGTTGAGTTTCCCTGGTTGGGACGTTTTTTAGCCAGTTCGTGTACAGACCGTATTACAAACTTAAGGCCTTTCTGGAAACTAATCTGTCTGGTCCTGTTAGCTTTTGACTGCAGCATATATGTATAACCCGATTACTAGGGACTCGTCATAAAAGCTATTTGGCACTGACTTGCATCACTGTGGTGTTTTTTTTTTTTCAGCGGCCGGTGCAACTGCAGTGTACCCCATTGACCTGGTGAAGACTAGAATGCAGAATCAGCGAGCGGTGCTGCCTCATGAGAGATTGTACGCGAACAGTTTTGACTGTTTTTTCAAAGTCATTAGGAATGAAGGGCCACTGGGATTGTACAGAGGTAAGCCATACCTTCCAACGCATTCTGGTTTCTCATTCGCTCACTTTATTGAAGTAAGTCTAACGTGAGATTCTTTTTTCGGGAAATACGTCTTTCCGTCCTTTGGCTCGGTTCATAAACTTGCAGAAACAAGAAGGCGAGCAGTATTCCCCAATACGGATTCAATTTAGTATTTATTATACTAGCGCGTTTGTACTGTAATTCTGGGATATGATAATTTTGATCATGTACCCTTGGATTTGATGGCTGAAGTGTAGGAGCGTATCAGGGGCCCAGAAGGTCTTTCTCGATATTCACAGTTCTGTATTAATTAGTAAGACTATTGTCGTTTTAATCTGATGTTGCTGCTTCATTAAGATTTATTTTTTTTCCCAGGATTACTTCCGCAGATTGTTGGTGTCGCTCCAGAGAAAGCCATTAAATTAACAGTGAGTTCTCGATTACACTGTAGAAAAAACAACTGGTGTGATTTGCGAAACGTTTCATACTAGGGCTTACTTCCGAGGATTTTTGCCTCGCTAATTTTTCTTGCCTAGATGCCACTTGAGAAACAACTCTCTTTTACTAAATAAATCCTTTTTTCTTCGCAGACAAATGATCTTGTACGTGACTTGTTTCGTGATAAAGATGGCTTTATCAGTTTACCATTTGAGATTGTGGCCGGTGGATGTGTAAGTAAAGTTTGAAACAGCGAAACTTTTCATAGCGTTGCAGTTGAGCCCCTACTTTAGGCACCTTATTAGAAGGCAACCGTCAACACTCTCCCTCCAGTCTTTGTTTCTGTTACCTTTGTTAAAGGGAGGATGTCCATTTATCCCACTGTATTATAAAATAGAAGTTGGGACTCCCAGTGAATGGTTTTTAGAAGATGATCGAAGCCTTTTCTTGCTTCTGATCTCACACAGTACAGTACAATACAATACAAATACAATACAAATACATGCACTACCCCCCCCCCCCCCAATCTCCCGATGGGATTCTACAGTACACTGTGAACATGGAGAGGAAGAAGTGTCGGTTTGGATGGCAAACACTCATCTTCTTGTCTGTTATATCGAACTCCCTGCTCCTTCTCCTTGCTCAATTATGCAGTCATGGAAACAAACTTGTTTCTAATTCAGATCTAGGATAATGTTAGTTAAGTTGCTTAAAGGAGCTCTGTCACAGTACTTTGAGTTGTCACTGTTTTGGCCACGTACACGATTACCTTTAACTTGAATAAAACCTGAAAATAGTAGTTTACTAAGATAGAAGAACACCAAAGAGACAATAATAAACCATAACGGAACAAGGATGGTTAAGGATGGAGAAGATTAACATGGATCACAAACGACGAACTTGAAAAATGCAGGCTAAGCCTTTCAAGATGCACAAACCGCGAAATAGCTCCTTTAACAACGTGACTTATTCTTATGACGTCATGCTTTGTGATCATTTCAGGGGGGAGCCGCCCAGGTTCTCTTCACCAATCCCCTAGAGATCGTGAAGATCAGGTTACAGGTTGCTGGTGAGGTTGGAGCTACTGGTAAACAGAAGGTGACAGCCACACGGGTCATCAGAGAACTGGGCCTGTCAGGGCTTTACAAGGTAATCACTTCGAATGCCTCAAAAAGTCGTTAATTCATCGCCCTCTTTAGGGCACATTTGAAATATTGACATTTTGTGTTAAAATAAAGGAATTAACAATTAGAAAACACCTTGCACGAAAGCGTAGCTAAAGCAGTACCTCTATAGCTCGCTAGAAACGCCTGTTTGGAATCAAAATGAACAATTGTTTTGCCTTCTTTTTTTCGCAGTGCTTATTAACTGCAAAACACTGCGCAGAACTCCCACGTCTGTGTTGCCACTGTATTTCTCATCTCCCAGACTTCCTATTCTGTTTCTGTTACTCAGCAACAACAAATTAAAATTGTACTCGTTTATCCCTTATTTCCCTTTCTCCTCTTTCAACTTGTGTTAGTTTTTCCTCTTACAGTTTAGTTTGTATCCCTATGTAGTATTTATCTCTATGTAGTAAACTGTACCTTATTCGTATAATCATCATTTGTAGATAGTGTGGTAAAACGTCAATAAAAGTGTGAAAAGTCAATGAAACTGTGTAAAATATTTTCCTTGTGCTGTTTTCTAGGGTGCAAGAGCGTGCTTTTTACGAGACATTCCATTTTCTGGTATTTATTTTCCTACCTACGCCCATCTAAAGAAATACTTCGAGAACGAAAGCGGACAAACTGGGCCTGGCGGTCTTTTTGCCGCAGCTATGATAGCTGGTAAGAGGAGTGAATTTTGTTGCTTTCCATGAACACAATAGGCGGGAAGATGATGCTTTAGGCATAAAATAAATTGCTTTGTAGGCATGTAATAAAAACTGCAATCTGAAGTCCCTTACGTTGTGATTGGAGGTTCTGAATGCTCTGTACAGGCCACATTCGTGGACTGGAACTAGCTTGCAAGTGAGGCTAAGTCGCGTAGTCTTTTCATTGCAAATGACATTAAATATTCCCCACATAAGCCTCCGTTTGGTAAGCTTGTTGCAGTCCAATATCGAGAATACAGATATGGTCTATTGCTCTCCACATGCTTCTTATCTTTGATAGAACCCTGAAAATGACCCTCTAAGTACGCCAGTACCGTATGTGACACTGCTTGTCTTGTGTTCTTTAGGAGTCCCCGCAGCAGGCCTGTGTACCCCAGCTGATGTTATCAAGACCAGATTACAGGTAAACAAATGCGTCTGTGCTTTATACCACGGCGTGCATAGCAACGTTACGTCAAACTGATTAGACAAGGATCACTGTTAATCTGCTCGTGTGTTTGTTGTTAGGTAAAAGCCAGAGCAGGCCAACAGATCTATCGTGGTGTTATCGACTGTACGAGGAAAATATGGAAGGAGGAAGGAGGTAGAGCGTTTTGGAAAGGAGCTGGAGGTCAGTTTTTTTTCAGAATGTATTCTTTTTGCAACTTGCGAAATATAGGACTAGAAAATTATTTGCGTTCTGATCGACTGCAGTACGTTTTCCCGGGACTTTTTGAAGTTTCCCGCCATTGCAAGACGCGTGGCTGTCACCTTTGCTGTGATTGGGGGTCAAGTCGCTGGTTGAATAATTGGCTAGCAGCGGAATTCTATAGAGCCACCATCGATTTAGCCTCTCGCACAGAGACTCTTTTCATCTTCGCGGCATCTTCTGTTTTTCCTCAGAAGCGTTTCGTGAGGAGCAGGCAAAAAGTTCAAAGCTTACCCTAATAATGGCAAACTGTAGGAACAAGAACAACTGGGTTTAGCTAGTACCAATCGAGTTAAGACTCCTTGTTTGCTTTAGCTCGTGTTTTTAGATCGTCGCCTCAGTTTGGAGTCACGTTACTCACTTACGAACTTCTTCAGAGAGTGTTTAAAGTGGATTTCAGCGGAAAAGGGTTAGTATGAGGCCGAAACGCCATTTCCTATTCTTCTTACCTCCCCCTAGATTGAAATTTCCGTTTTAGCATTAATCCACCATCTTTACGATGAATAGAAGTGGCCCCTTAAGATACAGTTGTACGGTACCAGTTAATCTCGTACCCAACCTCTGCAAGTTTTCGGTCCCCGTCATGTCGCACAAAACTGAAAGGATGTTTGCTCTGATTAGTAGCAGCGTGATGCACGAATGTCATAAACTAATAACAGAGCTAAACTAAAGAGAACCCAATGTAAAGAAGAGGAGACAAGTTGTACGGCCCATCACGGAAAGAGGTGATCCTGCAGGCACCCATTTTGATCGCTACATGCATTTTTGACTTTTGTTTGTAGTGTTTTTTGTTTTGTTTTTGTTTTTTGTTTTTGCGGTCTCAAGTCATTATCTAGGGGGCTTAAACCAGACCACGCCGGAGTAATTTGAAAACGCAGCTTTATTTCCACGCGTCCACAATAATCTAATCCGTCGTGAAAACGCTCTTCAAACCGGTGGAATTTGAAAACGCCGGCTTTTCGTTTTCGTGTGGACGGAAAACATTTTGAAAGTGGCGCTTTTGAAAACGATGACGTCACGATAATCACGTGATTTCCCTGCCCGAGATATTTTCAAACACAAATCCAAAATGACCGGTGGTTGCTGCGTTTTCAAATTGCTTCGGCGTAGTGTGAACGGAAATCATTTGATTTATTTTCTGAGTGAAACCTCCGTTTTCAAATTCCTCCGGTCTGGTGTGGACGGGGCCTTGTTCAGTTCTGTGATATTTTATTTTTTCGTTTATTCCTGCAATAGAGCGGTGGTGCACGAAGCCTGGAGTGAGAAAAGATCGTTCAACCCAGACATCTCCATGCATCCTGACCACATTGGCGGCATGAGACTGGCCGTGGCCTCGTTTGCAGGCATTGAGACTAGGTTCGGCTTGTGCTTGCCCAAGTTCACCCACGGGTCAGCGTTTCACACTTCAGGACAGAAGAAAGACACATGAGAATTTCAATGACTGCAGAGGACTTGAAGAAGATGGACACGACAGTGCCTTTTGTAGAGGCTAGTGCAAAGAGAATTGCGGGACAATCTACTCGTCAATTTGCATTCGGTTAATTCCGAAGAAATAATATTTTACAATATACATGTGAAATGGTTAAATAATTTACGTGCCAGGAGCCCATGGTACCTTTGCTTTTTAGCTTGGCCGCTTGTTGTATTTCAGTAGCCTAAGTAGTAGCGTTCTTATAGCCTCAGAGTTCACTAGTTATTCACAGGGGAGCACTTTTCTTTTAGCTGTCGTTTACCTTGAACTAAAGACATCACATAGCCAATCGTTACGGAGGCTAAACTTTACAATGAGCCAATGACAGAAAAAAGCTATGGCCGATAAAAAGCGCGGGAAAAGTCACGTGGGTCACAGTACGATTTATGTTGCAGCTGACTGGCTGGAAGAGCTGATGAAACGTTCAATCTGATTGCCAGCAGCGTGGTTCACGAGCTTCATGAACCAATCGCAGAGTTCGGTTCAAGGGAACCCAATAAACACAGGATGTGAATTTAAGCTGTATCGCGAGTGCTGGAGAAAATCTCTTAAGATAGGTCAGCGTCGGACTCTGGTGGTTACATGCGCCAATTGTTCAAGTACACTCAAACATAATATCTCCATACTAACAGAAAGAACCATAAAATTTTGTTCATAAGTAAGGGCGAAAATAGACCTTTCCGGCATTCCACTTCAGTGCGTACGAGCAATAGCACCACAGCGAGGTTGGGGTGGACATTTCCATACATTTGCTGTATTTTTGTCCACCCTGACCTCGACTCGGCGCCATTGTTTGTCAGAATGCGGGAAAGGTCCATTGCAAACAAAAATATCAGTTCCCTTACTGAGAAGATAAGGGAAGACTGTTTTGCGACACTTTTAGAAGTGCGGGGTATTTATAAACCTTCAATTTCCTTTAATAAGTCGCTGAAAATTGCCTGATTGCCTCAATTTTCAAATCCACTTCTTTGGCATTTTATGTGAGTAGACATTCGATGCGATGCAGTTATCATATCCGGTGTGAAAAAAAGTTTAAATTTTAGATGGGTACAAAATAGAACCGTAGACAAAAACATAAAAGGGACGAAAAGGGACGAGGTCTTTGCTATCTATAAATACCTTGAGCTAACCTGTTAGTGAGCAGTAAGGTGATTGTTCAGATTACATAATATTTGTTAAGTAGTTTAATGTGCAGGTAGTCTTCTCTAAAAGAAAAATTGGTTACTCGCGGCCGAGTGTTTTGTAAATGGCTGCGTCATGTGTCAGACCGGCGCCAAATGAGTATTATTTAAACATGGGGGCGTGCTTTCTTGCATAATTTAGTCGTATTTTATATAACATTAAAAGCAAGGAGGTAGCCCTTTCAGCTGAAAAGAGGCACTAATAAGAATTATATACATGTGTGGTATCAAATGGCGTGATGTCCTGTCAAGCCGGTTGTTTCATACACGTTTTCCTTTGTGCCAATACTTCACCATTTTCAGATCTTCAATCACTCCACGGACACCATAATGCAACTGGTAAATTTTTATTTTAATCGACTTGGCTATAACTACAAACCTTCTTTACTTGTTCTTACAAATACAAAGCCTGGAATAGCGAAAAAGAAAGAGCAACGTCAAAATAATCTTCCTCTTTATTAGAATCCACCATACCGTCAAATTTTCTAACAATTTTCTAACTAAGGTCTTTGGTATTGTTAAACCGCCAAAGCTCTTGGAGAATTCTTTTACGACTGTCGTTACGATTAACTGTCCCATGTTAGCACTTCTCCCGTGTATTCCCCCTCGACTTAAAAAAAAAGTTATCCCAAGGTTAATTTGAAATTGGCTTCGAAACAGTTACTAAAACGTTTGTTATTTCAAATCGCTATAGAAAACTTCCTGTAGTAAGTAAAAAGATCTGGTCAGGAAGGGTTGCTCTCGAAAAGTTGTCAAAACATTTTCTTACTTGTAGCCTCATTATTATACAACACTTCCTTTGCTAAGTAAAAAGATCTCGTAAAGAAGTATTCAAAATTAAATGTTTACATTTCTTATTTCGCAAGAATAGTAGCATTTCTATCGTCCGGCGAGGCTCGCGGGCTCTTCCAAGCACCCTGCACGCTTGCTTTCTTTGAAAAGAAAAAGAAAAGGAAATCAACGCTCGGTTTATGACCATCTTGTCATGAAGGAACAGATTCAGTAAGAATATTAGTAACTACCAGCTATAGACTTCAGGCATGTAGGACAGGATTCCTTTAAAAACTCGAAAAGAACAGCCTTGGAAAAGGTACCAAAGCTTCTCTCTTTTCTAGATGGCGATCTTGTTAACGCGAACAGAAGCCTTGTCGTTCCACTCATCACTTAAATGGTTATAGCACTCAACTTTATCGCGGCTGAATCCGTAATAAGTAAAAAGATCTGATCAGGAAGTATTCAAAAATAAATACTCTTACATTTCTTATATTATAAGAGTAGTAAAATTTTTATTATCAATGTAAGTTGACTCGCGAAGATCGCAGGCTCTTCATCAGCGCGCTGCACGTACTCTCATGAAAAAAAGGAAAAGAAAAATAAAATCAACGCACCGCGTATGACAATCTCATGTTATGAATTAGTGGCAATCTACGTGCGATTCTCAGTTAGAGATTTCAGGTTGGTCAGAACCCCTTTAAAAACTCGAAGAGTACATCATTTCAGATAGTTCCATGGATGTCCCCTTTTCTTGCAATTGATGGTGATCTTGTTAACAGGAACAGTAGCCTTGTCGTTCCACTCATCACTTCCACGGTTATAGCACTCAACTTTATCGCTGAATTCTCCTGCACTCATATAGTCTATTGCCGTGCGGCCACCAAGAACGTACAAAGTTTCGTCAGCCAGCATCATGCTCCCGAGACCTCGAGGAAGTGTCAAGCTGGCTATGAACTGCCACTCATCTGTCAATATGTCATAACCTTCACAAGTTTTCAACCGTACCGGTCCCAACGTCGAACCCCCAGCGACGAAAATCTTTTCATTTTTACAGACACCAAAAGCCTGTCGCCTCGCTTCATTCAAAGGCGCTATTTTTTGCCATTCATTTTCCTTGGTGTCGAACCTTGCACATTCCGAGAGCGATCCGTCATTATTCCACAGACTTCCACCGATGACCTATAAGTAACTGTCTACAGCCACGGCGCAAAACTCAAATCTTTCAACCGAGTTATCATGCAACAGTGTCAACAAGTTGGAGTCGAGGCTGTATGTCCAAAGTTCAGTCGAGCTTGAAGTTTTCTTTACAAGGAAACAGATTCTGTTGTTGACAACTAACGGTTTCCCTCTGGAAAATGGGAGGTTGTCTGTCCACGGTGCTGAAGACCAGCGGTTCGAATCTGGGTCATAGCATTGCGATCTGGCTATATCATCGTGTCAGTCGGTGGCAATGGCCTCGTTTGCTTCCTTGTATTTACGGTTAAACAGCTACAAATTCCAACGAACTATTTCATCCTGTCCCTGGCGCTGGCCGACTTCTTATTCGCTGTTATATGTCTGCCTTTCCGCATTGTCAATGTGCTGCAGTATTACCTGTGGACACTCGGCTTAGGTACCTGCAAATTCTGGGTCTGGCTGGATCTTGTCTTCTGTTCTGCCTCCATCGCAAACCTAGCAGCTATTAGCGTAGACCGCTATTTAAAAATCGCTTCCCCGCTAACCTACGACATCCGAATGACATCAAGACGCGTCGTTTTTATCCTAATAACATTATGGGGATATTCTACGTCTCTGGCGTCGCTCTCATTTGTGTCCGGCGACGCGTCGGGCATTATAGTACGGAACCAAATGTGTTACATCGACAACAAGATCTTCCTGACAGTAATTTCCGTCATCGGATTTTTTGCCCCCTTTGCCATTATGCTACTAATGTACTGTTTTGTTTTTAAAGTGGCGGTTGGTCAAGCGAAGGAACTATTTCGTTTGCAAGAGTCGCTTTACAACGGGAGTCAGCCGAAGGCGCGGCGAAAATCTAGCCGAATATCACCAGGAACAATTTTCNAGTGCCTCTCTCCACCCAGGTGTAAAAATGGGTACCAGCGAACTTAGTGCTGGGGGTAACCCTGCGGTGGATTAGCATATCCCATCCAGGGGGAAGTAGAAATATTCCTAGTCGCTTCATGCTACAGAAACCGGGATAAGCTCCGGCCTGGTGGGCCACCTGGCTCGTATGGAGACCTTACATTTTACTTTACTTATTATATTAAACTCTTCCCATATCAGCCATATGCAGTCAGCAACACGACAAGTACGTCTTGATTCATATACATATTCATATACACATACTTTCAACTGCTATTTCCCGTTTCCTCTTTAGTTTGAAATTTAACCAGAAATAGACTGGAACTTTTTTAAAACATTAATAATACGAGCACTCAACTCTCCCCCTGACTCCAAATGTGCATGTACACGACTTGTTTTTTTACTGTGTTAAGGTGGCCGAACACAGTTTTCAAGAGCCTTTGCCTAATTCACCATTACTTTTAAGCTATTTATGCTTTGGCGCCCGTTTTTTGCAAGAGTCAAGGTTAGCCACAGAAGGGCTTATTCTCGCATTTTGGCTAAGATGTGTGCTGTTGCCATGGCAACGGGGCTGGTTAAAACCAAGGCTTAAAAATGGTTTTTGTTTACTTAAAAAAAACAGTCGTTAGATTTTTTTCATCATTTGCCCACTACGAATTGACATTAAAACCCTTCTGTCAACACTGTTGTAATAAAATTTTGACACAGGCGATTTTCGTAATTCGCCGTAAATCGTTTTCACTGCATGTTCTGTATTGTTAAAAATTCCCTATGTCAAAATTCAGATTTTTTGCAATAGATCATTCACGTGGTTTCTGAACTATTTTTCAGCCAAATTTCTTGAAATTCTAACGACTGGATCGTGAGAAATCGGCAAGTTTCTGCAAAAGCAATCGGTCTCAATTTTTCGAGCAACTGTGCATGCACTGCATTTAACTGGGTTCTTTCGGTAACAAAGAAAAAGTTGAGAATTGCTGGGTTCTTTGCGTCGTTACTTTTTCTAACATATCTTTGTAATAAAAGACTAAAGCCATCAATGCACTGCGTTCAATGATACATCAGCAAAAGCGCGCGCGAAAACTGTGTTGGGCCACCTTAAATTACCGACTCCATGGGGATCTAATCGCTCCTCATCAAATATAATAGATTGACAGTTTTCTCGTCTTTCCCGCTTTTCGACCATTGGTAGTTCACTTTGCTCAGTCGATCGAAGCAGAAATGGAAAAATTACAGAGATCAAGGCGGGCTCACTTTCTTGGCGCTCTTCACCAGACTCCTTCCCGCCGGATCGCTTGCTCATCCCCGCTCGCGCGCGTGACTCAAAGGTGAGCCTGCTCACACGCTAAATCTTTAACAAGAAGGCAGCGCACTATAAACAAAGCCGGCTATAAATCTGATTTGCAATTTATCAATTTTCGAAATTTGCGTTTTGTTTTCACAGATATATTAACGCAAATTAACGCAAACATTGACACAATTTGATTTACATTTTATTCATCCATCGCCTGCGTAGCAAGTGTTTCCTCACGAAGAGCTTTCCCGCATTCTTGCCGCGCGTAAATTGGAGCGAGAGTAAAACTATGCGTGGTCAGAATGCGGAAAAGCTCATTACACGAGAAGTCTTGCCGCGCAGGCTAATCCATGACGGATTTTTCAAAGGAGTCAACCATGCAGGCTAAGTCCGTGATGATTGTCAATCGAAACTCAATATTCTATTATTTGTAAATAAACCAAGAGGTTTTGTGAACTTGTCGAGGGATTCTCAGTCAAAGAAATAAAAAAATATATAGATAGGTTACAACAAGAGATTATCATATTCTCTTGGTTACAGCAATAATGATATTTCACTGCTCGAGTTTTACTCAAACGCAAATTGAAAATGACCGGTGATTGCTGCGTTTTCAGATTTCTCCGGCGTAGTGTGGACGGAAAACATTTAATACGTTTTCACAGTGAAAACTTCGTTTTCAAATTTCTCCGGCGTAGTGTGGACACGGTCCTGGGTGTACCCGGCCAAGTTTCTTTGACTTTGGCAAATGTGACTGTCACGCTATGGCACTAAATTCAACAGAATAGATGGAGCCTTTTCTTCATACATAGTGTCATTCGCTGATTGGTATTGCGCGTGCACTGCCTTGGAAGTATTATTTTCCACCATAACTTCAAGAAGAGGTCACGTGACATTACAAAACTATAATAATAGATATTAAATAAACGCTTTAAAACGAAATAAACGCTTTTAAACCAGAGAACCTATCACAGGCCTCATAACGAAAAACGCTGGCATAAACCAATGATCAGTACAGTCAGGACAAGATATAACAGATAAAAAATGAATTCGAATTAAATGTCAAAACTAGAGGGAAACTGTAATAATAAAAACTGTAACAAATTAAATCTATTGCATTGAGTAAATCAAGTCTAGTTGGATAGTAAGTTTGTTAAATCATTTTTTTTTAGGCTAAATATTAAGATGTTTTTCTTGTACGCTAGCCAGTTGTACAATTACGTCCGAAATATGAACAACATAGATATAAACTCGTCTTTTGTCTTTTGAGATTTCAGTTGAAAAACACGATCTGTCGACAGATTGAATTCAGCCACTTGCGGCATGCTTTGTGTAAAAGAACCGACAATAACAACAGCCCATGCATCCTTGAAACGTTTCACACGGAAAGCTCTCGTGTTTTAATATTGCGTGTTTCCATTTCTTTAGTTTTTGAACTTCGCCTCCGGCAGGAGTTTGAGACTAACAGACTGACTAGAAGGAGTTCCGCAGAGTTCATATCTGACGAAGCTCCGGTCGGACGATCTGGTCTTAGAGATAGCAGGCTGTTCCGTGTCTTCAGACTGTTGCAGGACGAGGGAAAATAAACGTTTATTCTTGAAATTAGAAAGATGCAATTTATTTTATTTTGCTATGTACGTGTGGAAAGCATCCTGCGTAAATAAAATACTGACTCCTAGAAGAAAAGCGATTAATTCCTTTGCTAAGGAAAAGAAAACAAACGGGTGTAATATATAATTAAAAAGGGATCGTGTAAATCTGAGAGATGACGGCGAGGGTCTGAAATTTTTTGTCACTTTTCAGTTAGATGAAAAACGGGAGATCTTTTGTCATTAAACGTAAAACAAAAAACCAAAAAAAAAGGGGTTTCGGGATTGGCCCCTCTTCAGTGGTAGATGATAATAAAAAGCTAATGAGACAACTTGTCAGAACTAAAATTAAAAAAAAGGGAATGTTCGTGGACTAAAGGGCTAAGCACTAAACGTTTTTCTCGATACCTTTCAATGAATTTTTTGGCACCTTTCATATCTTTTTCATTTTACATATTTCTTCATCACTTCTGTGCATAATTTGTAACTTTTGCTCTTTTTATATCAATGCTTTATAATCAGACGTGCCTATCTGGAGCTGTGAGGCCGGCTCAGTGTGGGCGGTAGTTTTGCTTATTTCTAATGTCAACTAAGAATATTGAAGGGTATCGGTTCTATTTGTCCGCCAACGTAACGAACAATTTCCTCGTTTTCTGAGGGAAGTAACTTTTTAATCTTAAGCTGTTGTTGCTTCTGGATAATGCGTCATTGAATAAATAATGTGCGACGATCATAAAAGGTTCTTCAAGAAAATTCAAATTGCTAACGCAACTCTCTCTTCAGGTAGCTTGTCTAAGTCACCTTTCATAGAGTGTCAGATGCACCGTTCATGCATGAAAACTGCTTTTTCTTCGCTGACAAAAAAAAAGACGGGTATATTGAAGTACTTAATGGAATATAAAATTTCAGCTGTTGTATAGTTCTATACCGTATCTATTTTCTGTCAGATGACGTCAGTAGGTACCATTTAACCGTACTTGCAATTCAGTTTCTTAGGCACGTAGAACTAAAAATTGGAAATTGGTTTGCCAATGTCCGGCACTTTAACAAACAAATATTTGAAAAGAAACACGCCGACCTAGCCGTTAATACCAAACTTGTCAGTCTTCTACGATCAAAATTTCTGGAGAAGCGTATTTGCTACTGTAGATTTTTTTTTTGGCTGAGCTCTATGTTCGAGAGGGCGCCTGAAAAGACAGTTCGTTATTTGCTCAGGTTGTCAGAGCCTTGGAACAAAGTGGTAAAAGCTTTTGTCGGAAAGTTGTTGCATTATTAAACTAAAGTTTGCGACTCTCACTGATATTGCAGCTGACAAGAAAAAAAGGCGCCGAACGACAAAATCTGAAAACAAGCGGAGCAAACATAAATAATTAGATGTCAATTCTTTGAATGAACACTGTTAGTCCAAGGTGATAATCAAAAGCCTTTTCCATCGGCAGCGTGCATGACTCCATTTCCGTATAGCTAATTCCCAAGAATATTCTCCTTGACCGATTAAAACAATGAAAATGAAAAGTTTTCGGCGCGTTTGTGACTTATCGTCGATGAAAAATTTCCACGCCGGAGGTCGTGCCTGCTTCCAAACATAATTACTTCAAGAAATTAGAACTTGGGTTTATAGATAACTCCGTAATGAGGTCGATTAGTTATTCGAGATAGATCTAGATTTTGAATGTTTTTTATTGTTATACAAATAAACAAAACCAGTTAATCTGTTGTTTCAGCTCGTAGTTTTAAAGTCATTTGACTTTGGTGCAAAGACTAGTGAAAACTTTCGCTAAAAGCAATTTGTTTTGTTTTCTTTTCAGCACGTGGTAACCTTGGCGCGCGGTAAACCGTTGTTTGTAGTCAGATATTTGACTTCATAATATACGTCTTAGTCAAAACAAAAAGCACCGACAAGCAGGTGCCTATGTCCATTTATCAATTCTCATTGGTCGATACAATTCAATATTGACTGTCCCGGAAATATATGTTACTTTATGATAATACAATGTTGTCTGAAAAAAAGATATTCTTTTGGGTTTTCCCAATGTAAACGATGCTCGAAAAATTTTATCGCAAAATCGCGAGCAGGTATTATGTCTCTAATTAACTGGTCTCCATTACGAATGGTAAAAATGTAAAGTTAGAAAAATGAGATTGTTATTGACTAGGGTGCGAAGGATGTAATGTAAGATAAAAGTGCTCTGTTATCATCTGTGTCCAAAACAGCATGTTCTGATCCCACAACTAAGGCGCCTCGAGTCTATTTTAATTCAAATTTCAAACTGTTTAGTTATTTAAGTTTGACTTAACACAACAAATGAATGCATGTTATTTGTCGGTGATCAAAGGGGGTGATATGAGCCAATCGAAACAGCTTTGATGACCTGTCCAATTCTAAATCCATCCGTTTCCGTGGATTTCTCAATAACATTGGACTGTCAGGATATTAACCCGTCTTCAGAGCTACCCAACCAGGCAATAAGTACCAAGGACGTCTCATAGAAGGAAGATACGGTTAGGTGCCGACTTCTAGGAAAGATATTTTTCAGTGCAACTTGAAGCTGGGATCTAGGACTTAAGAACTGAATGTGACGTGCACTTAAATTACGGTCGCGTTTGATTTGAAAGCGCTGTTAGTTTCTTAAAATAAGCTAAGAGCCAGACAAGTTCCGGCAAGCACTTAATCCTTTGTGGGGATAAGCAGGCGGGAAAACGGATCCCTTCATAATCTGGATCATTCCGTTGACATTGCGTTTTACAGCACTTACGACGTGGTGGTCGAAATAAATCTCGCTAACGCACAGTCCCGGCAAAGTTCAACGAAGCAACTTACAGAAACGTGACGCTGTCATGCAAGTTGGCGTCGGGAATAACAACACCTCCTCGCTGCCTAACATTTTGCATCCAGGCAATCATTCTGGACTGAATAACACATCGCGACTGTCCTCCGCAGGTCCAAGTGATTTTGAAATCATTTCACAAGCCGTCATCTTGATCATTGTCCTCATCGTGTCAGTCGGTGGCAATGGCCTCGTTTGCTTCCTTGTATTTACGGTTAAACAGCTACAAATTCCAACGAACTATTTCATCCTGTCCCTGGCGCTGGCCGACTTCTTATTCGCTGTTATATGTCTGCCTTTCCGCATTGTCAATGTGCTGCAGTATTACCTGTGGACACTCGGCTTAGGTACCTGCAAATTCTGGGTCTGGCTGGATCTTGTCTTCTGTTCTGCCTCCATCGCAAACCTAGCAGCTATTAGCGTAGACCGCTATTTAAAAATCGCTTCCCCGCTAACCTACGACATCCGAATGACATCAAGACGCGTCGTTTTTATCCTAATAACATTATGGGGATATTCTACGTCTCTGGCGTCGCTCTCATTTGTGTCCGGCGACGCGTCGGGCATTATAGTACGGAACCAAATGTGTTACATCGACAACAAGATCTTCCTGACAGTAATTTCCGTCATCGGATTTTTTGCCCCCTTTGCCATTATGCTACTAATGTACTGTTTTGTTTTTAAAGTGGCGGTTGGTCAAGCGAAGGAACTATTTCGTTTGCAAGAGTCGCTTTACAACGGGAGTCAGCCGAAGGCGCGGCGAAAATCTAGCCGAATATCACCAGGAACAATTTTCTTTGAAGTAAAAGCGACCAAAACGCTGATTATACTGTTGAGTGTGTTTTGCATCTGTTGGTCACCGTTTTTCGTTCTCACTCTGCTTAGTCTCCACAGTAAGGCTCTACTCGAACCGCCTGGTTGGTTGTCGAAACTTCTCAAGATCGTCTTCGTGCATCTTTTGCCCAACTGCAACGCAGCTTTCAACCCGATCATTTACACCACCTATAACCTTCAGTTCCGTAAAGCTATTCAGAGACTGTTCAAGCGTTACAGAAACCGAGAACGGTCAGGAAGTTTCAGCTCTTTTTCGGAGCCTCCGACAGAAGTCCGAAAGAAGATGAACTCTGCACTCTGGACAAAAGCGCCAACAACAACCTCTGTCTACTTCTCTACTGGCGAAGAAGGAACAGATCGCATTTTGCCAGAATCATAGCAAAATCTACTGAGCTCAGTCTAGGACCGATTGCCATAGGGGGAAAGCTCTAGTTTTCGTTTCAAAAATGAGATACATTTCGGCTCCTATTTTCATTTTCACTGTTTTTCATTCATGTGTAGATAGAATATTATTTCATGATCATCGTTATACAGTCTATACAGGTAAATTTCCTTACCATTAAATTTAACCAATACCTGATTCAATAGCTTATCGATTCAGTTACGCCAAGAGCTCTCAATAAGCAATCGTGGAATTGCGATTGAAAGATGGCGCCAAGGGGTATTTAATATGTCTACTGACTGGAATTTAGAAGACACCCATTTACAGCTCGAGATTAAAAAGTCGGTTAATGTTAAGAGCTTAAGATAAAAACAGCTTTCCATATGTTTACAGCTGTAAGGTATCGATAAAAAATCCAGAAAAATGAGTTAATGTTTTTGAGCTTATCAGCGCGAAAAAATTCTGCATAATATCATTTTAACTCTGGCATAAGACGACTTCTTCGTACGAGCCAAAATTCTCACCAAAATAGTATTGTATGAAGCAATATCGCACTGATGAGATTGCCAGTAACAAATGGGGCACAATACAAGTTAAATTGAAGATTATAACATGAAATATGACCAAATTGCGGCAAAAATNCAGAAAAAAGCTATGGCCGATAAAAAGCGCGGGAAAAGTCACGTGGGTCACAGTACGATTTATGTTGCAGCTGACTGGCTGGAAGAGCTGATGAAACGTTCAATCTGATTGCCAGCAGCGTGGTTCACGAGCTTCATGAACCAATCGCAGAGTTCGGTTCAAGGGAACCCAATAAACACAGGATGTGAATTTAAGCTGTATCGCGAGTGCTGGAGAAAATCTCTTAAGATAGGTCAGCGTCGGACTCTGGTGGTTACATGCGCCAATTGTTCAAGTACACTCAAACATAATATCTCCATACTAACAGAAAGAACCATAAAATTTTGTTCATAAGTAAGGGCGAAAATAGACCTTTCCGGCATTCCACTTCAGTGCGTACGAGCAATAGCACCACAGCGAGGTTGGGGTGGACATTTCCATACATTTGCTGTATTTTTGTCCACCCTGACCTCGACTCGGCGCCATTGTTTGTCAGAATGCGGGAAAGGTCCATTGCAAACAAAAATATCAGTTCCCTTACTGAGAAGATAAGGGAAGACTGTTTTGCGACACTTTTAGAAGTGCGGGGTATTTATAAACCTTCAATTTCCTTTAATAAGTCGCTGAAAATTGCCTGATTGCCTCAATTTTCAAATCCACTTCTTTGGCATTTTATGTGAGTAGACATTCGATGCGATGCAGTTATCATATCCGGTGTGAAAAAAAGTTTAAATTTTAGATGGGTACAAAATAGAACCGTAGACAAAAACATAAAAGGGACGAAAAGGGACGAGGTCTTTGCTATCTATAAATACCTTGAGCTAACCTGTTAGTGAGCAGTAAGGTGATTGTTCAGATTACATAATATTTGTTAAGTAGTTTAATGTGCAGGTAGTCTTCTCTAAAAGAAAAATTGGTTACTCGCGGCCGAGTGTTTTGTAAATGGCTGCGTCATGTGTCAGACCGGCGCCAAATGAGTATTATTTAAACATGGGGGCGTGCTTTCTTGCATAATTTAGTCGTATTTTATATAACATTAAAAGCAAGGAGGTAGCCCTTTCAGCTGAAAAGAGGCACTAATAAGAATTATATACATGTGTGGTATCAAATGGCGTGATGTCCTGTCAAGCCGGTTGTTTCATACACGTTTTCCTTTGTGCCAATACTTCACCATTTTCAGATCTTCAATCACTCCACGGACACCATAATGCAACTGGTAAATTTTTATTTTAATCGACTTGGCTATAACTACAAACCTTCTTTACTTGTTCTTACAAATACAAAGCCTGGAATAGCGAAAAAGAAAGAGCAACGTCAAAATAATCTTCCTCTTTATTAGAATCCACCATACCGTCAAATTTTCTAACAATTTTCTAACTAAGGTCTTTGGTATTGTTAAACCGCCAAAGCTCTTGGAGAATTCTTTTACGACTGTCGTTACGATTAACTGTCCCATGTTAGCACTTCTCCCGTGTATTCCCCCTCGACTTAAAAAAAAAGTTATCCCAAGGTTAATTTGAAATTGGCTTCGAAACAGTTACTAAAACGTTTGTTATTTCAAATCGCTATAGAAAACTTCCTGTAGTAAGTAAAAAGATCTGGTCAGGAAGGGTTGCTCTCGAAAAGTTGTCAAAACATTTTCTTACTTGTAGCCTCATTATTATACAACACTTCCTTTGCTAAGTAAAAAGATCTCGTAAAGAAGTATTCAAAATTAAATGTTTACATTTCTTATTTCGCAAGAATAGTAGCATTTCTATCGTCCGGCGAGGCTCGCGGGCTCTTCCAAGCACCCTGCACGCTTGCTTTCTTTGAAAAGAAAAAGAAAAGGAAATCAACGCTCGGTTTATGACCATCTTGTCATGAAGGAACAGATTCAGTAAGAATATTAGTAACTACCAGCTATAGACTTCAGGCATGTAGGACAGGATTCCTTTAAAAACTCGAAAAGAACAGCCTTGGAAAAGGTACCAAAGCTTCTCTCTTTTCTAGATGGCGATCTTGTTAACGCGAACAGAAGCCTTGTCGTTCCACTCATCACTTAAATGGTTATAGCACTCAACTTTATCGCGGCTGAATCCGTAATAAGTAAAAAGATCTGATCAGGAAGTATTCAAAAATAAATACTCTTACATTTCTTATATTATAAGAGTAGTAAAATTTTTATTATCAATGTAAGTTGACTCGCGAAGATCGCAGGCTCTTCATCAGCGCGCTGCACGTACTCTCATGAAAAAAAGGAAAAGAAAAATAAAATCAACGCACCGCGTATGACAATCTCATGTTATGAATTAGTGGCAATCTACGTGCGATTCTCAGTTAGAGATTTCAGGTTGGTCAGAACCCCTTTAAAAACTCGAAGAGTACATCATTTCAGATAGTTCCATGGATGTCCCCTTTTCTTGCAATTGATGGTGATCTTGTTAACAGGAACAGTAGCCTTGTCGTTCCACTCATCACTTCCACGGTTATAGCACTCAACTTTATCGCTGAATTCTCCTGCACTCATATAGTCTATTGCCGTGCGGCCACCAAGAACGTACAAAGTTTCGTCAGCCAGCATCATGCTCCCGAGACCTCGAGGAAGTGTCAAGCTGGCTATGAACTGCCACTCATCTGTCAATATGTCATAACCTTCACAAGTTTTCAACCGTACCGGTCCCAACGTCGAACCCCCAGCGACGAAAATCTTTTCATTTTTACAGACACCAAAAGCCTGTCGCCTCGCTTCATTCAAAGGCGCTATTTTTTGCCATTCATTTTCCTTGGTGTCGAACCTTGCACATTCCGAGAGCGATCCGTCATTATTCCACAGACTTCCACCGATGACCTATAAGTAACTGTCTACAGCCACGGCGCAAAACTCAAATCTTTCAACCGAGTTATCATGCAACAGTGTCAACAAGTTGGAGTCGAGGCTGTATGTCCAAAGTTCAGTCGAGCTTGAAGTTTTCTTTACAAGGAAACAGATTCTGTTGTTGACAACTAACGGTTTCCCTCTGGAAAATGGGAGGTTGTCTGTCCACGGTGCTGAAGACCAGCGGTTCGAATCTGGGTCATAGCATTGCGATCTGGCTATATCATCGTGTCAGTCGGTGGCAATGGCCTCGTTTGCTTCCTTGTATTTACGGTTAAACAGCTACAAATTCCAACGAACTATTTCATCCTGTCCCTGGCGCTGGCCGACTTCTTATTCGCTGTTATATGTCTGCCTTTCCGCATTGTCAATGTGCTGCAGTATTACCTGTGGACACTCGGCTTAGGTACCTGCAAATTCTGGGTCTGGCTGGATCTTGTCTTCTGTTCTGCCTCCATCGCAAACCTAGCAGCTATTAGCGTAGACCGCTATTTAAAAATCGCTTCCCCGCTAACCTACGACATCCGAATGACATCAAGACGCGTCGTTTTTATCCTAATAACATTATGGGGATATTCTACGTCTCTGGCGTCGCTCTCATTTGTGTCCGGCGACGCGTCGGGCATTATAGTACGGAACCAAATGTGTTACATCGACAACAAGATCTTCCTGACAGTAATTTCCGTCATCGGATTTTTTGCCCCCTTTGCCATTATGCTACTAATGTACTGTTTTGTTTTTAAAGTGGCGGTTGGTCAAGCGAAGGAACTATTTCGTTTGCAAGAGTCGCTTTACAACGGGAGTCAGCCGAAGGCGCGGCGAAAATCTAGCCGAATATCACCAGGAACAATTTTCTTTGAAGTAAAAGCGACCAAAACGCTGATTATACTGTTGAGTGTGTTTTGCATCTGTTGGTCACCGTTTTTCGTTCTCACTCTGCTTAGTCTCCACAGTAAGGCTCTACTCGAACCGCCTGGTTGGTTGTCGAAACTTCTCAAGATCGTCTTCGTGCATCTTTTGCCCAACTGCAACGCAGCTTTCAACCCGATCATTTACACCACCTATAACCTTCAGTTCCGTAAAGCTATTCAGAGACTGTTCAAGCGTTACAGAAACCGAGAACGGTCAGGAAGTTTCAGCTCTTTTTCGGAGCCTCCGACAGAAGTCCGAAAGAAGATGAACTCTGCACTCTGGACAAAAGCGCCAACAACAACCTCTGTCTACTTCTCTACTGGCGAAGAAGGAACAGATCGCATTTTGCCAGAATCATAGCAAAATCTACTGAGCTCAGTCTAGGACCGATTGCCATAGGGGGAAAGCTCTAGTTTTCGTTTCAAAAATGAGATACATTTCGGCTCCTATTTTCATTTTCACTGTTTTTCATTCATGTGTAGATAGAATATTATTTCATGATCATCGTTATACAGTCTATACAGGTAAATTTCCTTACCATTAAATTTAACCAATACCTGATTCAATAGCTTATCGATTCAGTTACGCCAAGAGCTCTCAATAAGCAATCGTGGAATTGCGATTGAAAGATGGCGCCAAGGGGTATTTAATATGTCTACTGACTGGAATTTAGAAGACACCCATTTACAGCTCGAGATTAAAAAGTCGGTTAATGTTAAGAGCTTAAGATAAAAACAGCTTTCCATATGTTTACAGCTGTAAGGTATCGATAAAAAATCCAGAAAAATGAGTTAATGTTTTTGAGCTTATCAGCGCGAAAAAATTCTGCATAATATCATTTTAACTCTGGCATAAGACGACTTCTTCGTACGAGCCAAAATTCTCACCAAAATAGTATTGTATGAAGCAATATCGCACTGATGAGATTGCCAGTAACAAATGGGGCACAATACAAGTTAAATTGAAGATTATAACATGAAATATGACCAAATTGCGGCAAAAATTGTCACCTGTCCATTTTATCTCGAGAGCGTCAAACAAAAAGCTGCCAGCCTCTATGCATTCATATCTTCCGAGAAATAAAAATTATGGTTATTTGAGGAAAATAATCAATAGGCTATAATGTTTAAAAGAAGCTGATATTTTCTGCGGACATTTCTTTTTTACAAGTCTAGCTTCATGGAATTGTTGACATACCTACTATATTATGCGTATTCGTTACTACAGCTCCCGTTGATTCTTCTCCCTGACTTCTGTCTCAATTTTTAGATTGATTGTAATGGAACAAACGAATCTTTTCCGAGGGCCTTTGTTTAGCCAAAAGCAAATAAATTGAATCAACGCAGAGACAAGTTCAGAGAAAATTGGCGACGGTACAGTCTAAATATAGTTCTCAAAGAGGAGCAAATAAAGAGATTGTGCTTTTCCGGCGATAAATTAGAAAACACCGAACAGTTTATACGATTCGAAAATTGTTGAACGTTTTTCATAAAAAATAGTAAATTCACGCAAGCAGAAGTTTACTCCTAATTTCTAATTTTGCCTTGAAAAAGTGTCTGGTGATGAAATGGGATTGGGTACTTTTTTAATCCTTAATACAAATTCATTAATTATTTGAACCCTCTAAGCTGGAAAAGAAATACGCGTATTATTTACCTTTGAGGATTTTAAATATTCATGGTGCTTATTAGCTTGTGAAATAGGTAGCTAACATCAATAAAATCGCCTCGAGCAAGAAGTGTAGCTTGTAAAAATAGATTTATTTTCCCGTAAGACAAGCCTTTGGCAATTATGTCTGGAAAAGAATTAAGATAAGAAAAATCGTCATATTCTTTCAGAACGTAAATGAAAATCTCAATAAACAGATTGGAAATCTCCCATGAATGCCTTTTTTATTAGAATGCGTAATAAGAATGCATTGTAAAAGGAGCTCGTTAGTCAATCGCAAAGAAAGAAATACAACTCCTGTTAATTTTTATTAACAGTTCCCTTTATAATAAAACTGATAAAGAGGAACCCTTCTTTTGTAGAAGCTTTTTTCAATTCTCTCGTCACTGACAAAAACAATTCTTACCGAACAAAATAATGATCCCCGAACTCTTGAACAGAGGGCTGCAATTTCAATTAAACTACTAATGATTTACCAGCAGTTGATGAAAGTGAAACATTTTTCAAAGACCAATATGTTTAAAGCCTTAGGGATATTTTTAATTGAATCATCGGGTATCCCCAAACAATAAATCTAGGACAAAATATATGCAGATACGACAACACTTTCCTCAAAGTTGACGTTTCCCTGTAAATTGATGATGATTAATTAAGGAAATCTAATCGAATTATACTCGGTTAAAAATTAATCGAAATAAATCATCCCCAGCTATTGCAATAGGTGAATCTCCTGCAACAAATTACGTGAGCGTGTTGTCCGACTTCCATTCAATTTCTCGTAGAGGGAGCAAGTTTTCGGTACACTAAAAAAGCCAGCTGGCTTAGTATTTGAAGTATTGGCCGGCTTAATTTCGAGTGTTTCGCTAAGTGACGGTCAATTTTGTTAAGTGTGAACTGTACACGGAAATAACTCCTTAGTCTGTTTATTGTGTACGAGAGAAAGGAAACACCCAATTTGACATTTGATGAGCTCATTCGATGTTAAAAACCCTTGTGTTAAAACTGATCGTTCTCGCGAAAAGTCTAAAAACGCCGACGGCTTAGTTGGACAATTAAGATTTACTTTTCTTTACTATCGTATTAATAACTACTTAAATCAAACCAGTCTTTTTTAAATTTGCTACAGGAGCGCACAAGATCCGAATGTCACTGGAAATGGACAGAGTTTTTCATTTCACCAATTTGCTTTTTTTTTCTGAAACATCGAGAACATTGCTTTCTGTTAAATAAGATAGCTGAACTCCCCTGAGCTCATTTTTTTAAATTTTATTTTGGCCGACAGTTACTACTTAACTTCATGTAAAGTGCCTGTAAAATTAAAATACATGAATGTTCTCTTGAGGCTTGCGTTTTACTGATAATGTATTTTTATTTTTATCTCCAAAACAAAGTTTTACAGTCAGACTCAGAAAACCATGAACACCTAAAATGTCTGGGATGTTCAGATTGTGTTTTATGAAATTGAGATACTACGCGCGCTCTGACTGGTCAATATATAGAGTTGCAACAACTATGTTCTATTCGCTTCTATTGCACCGGTAAACCATGGTTTCCGATAAGGCAGCTCTATACGGAACTAGAGAACTCAGAACACTGGCGATAACAAATATAATGAACAGTTTCGGCTGTTATTGGTTGAGATATCAATTACATGAATATTTTTTCATTTAACAGAAGCATGGAAATTTGCGAGGAAAACAGGACCAGAAGTTGGGCGCCATATAAAGCTATATCTTTTTTCTAAGTTAAGGGAGTTTTAAACCCTTTTTCGGTGCTTTCTACGGTCTGAAGTCATCCGAACTTGACTTTGCTATTAGGATTGTTAGAAAAGTAGGGAAGAGCTTATCAGAAATTTTGAGTTTAAGCTCGATGCATGCATGCTTAACACGATAAATTAATTTGGTTTCCATAAGCTTAGCTTTCAAGCAATAGTTTTCATTTAGCAAAATACAGAGAGACACGGACTTCATAGCCTTCATAGCCTTTATAAATTTCAGAAGCAGCGTTTTTGAAACTAGCCTTTATTCCATTCGTAAAACTTTGGAAAATTTTCATTGAATCAGTTTGCCAAGCGTATCAAAATTTTTACTACTTGCAATTGCAAACTTTTCGTACAGTCTTTTAGTTTCGTGATGACCGTTTCCGCCCTTGATACCAACCTCTGCATTTCTCCTTCAGAATACTTTTGAATTAATTAATTAATATACTTTCTGCCTTTCACTAATAAACTTTCCCTTTCATTTGTTACAACCTTGTTGCCAAATGTTTTCGCCGCTTTGCTCTGCAGATTTCGTGTCCGGTGCTGAGTGCTGAGTCTGTGCTTTGGGGATACCCGATGATTCAATTAAAAATATCCCTAAGGCTTTAAACATATTGGTCTTTGAAAAATGTTTCACTTTCATCAACTGCTGGTAAATCATTAGTAGTTTAATTGAAATTGCAGCCCTCTGTTCAAGAGTTCGGGGATCATTATTTTGTTCGGTAAGAATTGTTTTTGTCAGTGACGAGAGAATTGAAAAAAGCTTCTACAAAAGAAGGGTTCCTCTTTATCAGTTTTATTATAAAGGGAACTGTTAATAAAAATTAACAGGAGTTGTATTTCTTTCTTTGCGATTGACTAACGAGCTCCTTTTACAATGCATTCTTATTACGCATTCTAATAAAAAAGGCATTCATGGGAGATTTCCAATCTGTTTATTGAGATTTTCATTTACGTTCTGAAAGAATATGACGATTTTTCTTATCTTAATTCTTTTCCAGACATAATTGCCAAAGGCTTGTCTTACGGGAAAATAAATCTATTTTTACAAGCTACACTTCTTGCTCGAGGCGATTTTATTGATGTTAGCTACCTATTTCACAAGCTAATAAGCACCATGAATATTTAAAATCCTCAAAGGTAAATAATACGCGTATTTCTTTTCCAGCTTAGAGGGTTCAAATAATTAATGAATTTGTATTAAGGATTAAAAAAGTACCCAATCCCATTTCATCACCAGACACTTTTTCAAGGCAAAATTAGAAATTAGGAGTAAACTTCTGCTTGCGTGAATTTACTATTTTTTATGAAAAACGTTCAACAATTTTCGAATCGTATAAACTGTTCGGTGTTTTCTAATTTATCGCCGGAAAAGCACAATCTCTTTATTTGCTCCTCTTTGAGAACTATATTTAGACTGTACCGTCGCCAATTTTCTCTGAACTTGTCTCTGCGTTGATTCAATTTATTTGCTTTTGGCTAAACAAAGGCCCTCGGAAAAGATTCGTTTGTTCCATTACAATCAATCTAAAAATTGAGACAGAAGTCAGGGAGAAGAATCAACGGGAGCTGTAGTAACGAATACGCATAATATAGTAGGTATGTCAACAATTCCATGAAGCTAGACTT